CAGTGTATTAATCCCTCTCTCTCCCATGTTTTAACCCTATTAGCCCCTCTCTCCAGTGTATTAACCCCTCTCCCATGTTTTAACTCCTATTAACCCTTCTCTCTGTCTCCAGTGTATTAACCCCTCTCCCATCTCTTAACCCCTATTTACCCTTCTGTCTCCAGTGTATTAACCCCTCTCTCTCTCCCATGTTTTAACCCTATTAGCCCCTCTCTCCAGTGTATTAACAACCCCCCTCCCCCCCTCTCTCCCTGGTGTATGAACACTCTCTCTTCCTCTCTCCCTCTCCTCAGACACCTTTGCCAGTAAAGTGGCAGCTATCCAGGACCAGTACGCCGACGCCTCCATCGGCAACGTCACGGGCAGCAACGCGGTGAACGTCTTCCTGGGCATCGGCGTGGCGTGGACCATCGCCGCCGTCTACTGGCGCGCCCAGGGGAAGGACTTCCGGGTGGACCCGGGCTCGCTGGCCTTCACCGTCACGCTCTTCACCATCTTCGCCTTCGTCAACGTCACCGTGCTGATGTACCGGCGGCGGGCGAGCGTGGCGGGGGGCGAGCTGGGGGGGCCGCGGACTGCCAAGCTGCTCACCACCCTCCTCTTCCTCTTCCTGTGGCTGCTCTACATCCTGCTGGCCTCGCTGGAGGCCTACTGCCACATCCAGGGCTTCTGAGCGGGGACAGACAGAGCAAGAGAGGGACGGAGAGACGGGAAGGGACAAATCAAAAATGAACGGGAAGAAGAAAAGGGGGAAAGGACCTTCCCTTCCCCCTGAATGGCTTGGCAGACACCCCCTCTACACAGTCATACTGCGTGTCCCCCCCCCCACTTTACCCTCCCTCCTACTCCCATGTCCCCTCCTTCCCTTATACTCCTCCCTCCTCTCCATCCATCCCCCCCCCTCTCTTCCTCCTCTCCCCTTCTCACTCTCTTTTTTCCTCCACCCCCCGCACCTGGGAGTGCGCCTTGAGCCGGGGGAGGCGAGCATCGGCGCCAGGTGGGAGGAGTAGGCGCAAGGAAGCACGAGAACACGCAGCTACATGATCCGACCACCGGGTGGCGCTGTCCGTTGTGAGAGGAAGGGCAGGTGGGGGGCAGACCCCTCTCGGAAGTGCAAGCAGTCGCGTACGCGTTCCCTGTACACGAACGAAAGCAAGGCACCGACACATGGGCACCCTTCTGCGTCCACACACTCTTAACGCACGGCATCACTCCCACACGCATGCGCCGGGCGTGTCCTCGCTGCATATTACACGCTATAGGCCCCACTTACAGTTTACAGTCTCGTGTTTGGGGCACCTTGTTGGGAAAGGCGCTATATTAAAAATAAATGGAATTGAATGTGTCCTAGGCGCCCGAGGAGAGAGGAGTTCCCCCTCCCTGCCCTCCTCTGTGATCTCCATTGGTCTGTTCCATTTTTAAAAGAGTTTTTCATTTGTGTTCGTGCTCTCATCCTGATCATACTGGAGCTCACCGGCCCGGAACAGACCCTCGGAGACACGACAGCGATGGGAAGCTGGAGAATGAGGACACATTTCCAGATGTATGTCTGTATATATATATCTACCTATCCCTGTCCTGCTGCTGGCCTGTGTGCAGCACTGGACTCTCGTGTGGAGGCATGAACGAACTGGACAGGCTCTCTTCCTCCTCGCCTTCCTCTTTGGCTCCCCTGAACAGTTACCCGTACCGGGGACCCGATCGCCTCTCTCTGAACCGGGTTTCTTAATTTATCTGTATTTATCGGAGAAGGACGGGAACTCAAGCGGAAGGAGAAACGACGTTGCGTTTCACCATTTTCATTTCTTTCCTGTGTTCGTTTTTTTATTATTCTTATTGTTATACTGATTGTAGGCTGGGATTCCACTTCACCCAGTGCAACCTGTGAGAAAGCACCGCGGCTCTGCTCCCCGGGGACAGGCTGGACGAACCCCCGCCCTCTTCGGTCTGTTTCGGAAACTGCGGATCAAGAGGGATACCCTGGCAAACTAACGGTCAGCAGAACCCGCGGAGACAAACCGACACTTGTTGAGGGAAAATTCTGCACTGATGCCACAAGTTATCAGGCTTGGTAGACCAGGAGGACAGCTGGTCCAGTGGTTCAGGTCCGGTCTTGTTAGACCAGGGGGACAGCTGGTCCAGTGGTTCAGG